ATAAGATTTTAATTGCAAACTAGACCAAGGTTTTACCCCCTTGATAACTAATGGTTGGATAAAGTAGAATTTGTATCAAATAACTCGGATTTCAGATTTCTAGATGTATAAATTAATATGCTATTCTGGAGCAATATCTAGATTATGGGTTAAAATATTAATTACTACTATTCCAGTTATATAAAACCAAATTATTTTGAGAAACTGTCTTATTTAAAAAAAAATCCCAGTAATTTTCTTTAACATTCTTTATAAAATGTGATTGAGGCTTTTGAGTATCATAAAGCTAGGATGAGAGTACAGATAATTTTACTTAAAAAGCTGTATTTTGGCAAACATTTTATTAATGTTATAAATGAAAATATAGTTAGAGTTTTAAAATGGCACTTAATCTGTTCTTCTCTCTAACAGAGTCTGCCAAATAAATTAGATTCCTTGGAAAAAATTCAAACTTGATATAATGGTGCAAAATTAAGATTAACCCTTGCTTGTCAGTTAAGTCATTGCCTTAAACAAATGGACTTATTTTCAAGAATAGAAATGGGCCCTAAAAATACCCCCAAAACAAAAAACAAAACAAAACAGACCAAAAATGGACCTATAACTGTTATTAAGCAGAAAGAAAGGGCTGTCAACAGAGCTTCTCTATTAATAATTTACTCAGCAAAAGTTAACAATTAAAAAAAGCACCTATAGCCAAAGTTCTTGTAAGGTGACAAAAAAAAAAAACAAAAAAAACAAACACCTAATGCTAAATTTTGTTCAAACATGAAAGGTCTGATCCATTTTATACAGCATTAGTTTTATCTTTTAATAAGTTGAACTGGTCTTAGAATGAAAGATAATAGATCTGTTCACCTATTTTTTACATTATTTACAGAGAAATGCAAAATCTGGCTGCCTTTGCAATCACCTGTTATTTGGGAATTTCTTAGAGAAAACAAAAGAAAATGGCTAGGCATGTTTGCACACACCTGTAATCCCAGCTACTTCAGAGGCTGAGGCAGGAGGATAGCTTGAATCTAGGAGTTTGTGACCAGCCTGGGCAACACAGCAAGACCCTGCAGTCTTTAAAAGAAAGGAAAAGAAAGAAAGGAAAGGAAGGAAAGAAAGAAGAAAAGAAAGAAAGAAAGAAAATGGAAAGATAATTTTATCTGATCTGGGAAAGTTCAAGACCACATCTGAGATTTACCAAAGAATGAGAGAAAATGTTTTTCAAGTTGGAAAGTACTAGAGTGATTAACTGATCTAACCTACGCATTTTGTAGATGAGAAGACTGAGATACTAGTGGCTTGAGCTGAGGCAAATTACTCAAACTCTTCCTTATATTGTAATTAAACTGAGACTAACATCCAGTCTCTTGACTTTTGTCTCCAATTCTTTCCTGTGATCCACACTTTGTACATTAATGCCATCCTCTACCAAGGTTAATAGTGGTTACCTACGGGGGAAGAAGTGAAAGTCAGGGAAAAAAAAAGGTGGTGGTAGGGATAGTTAGGTATGTTGCACTCAAACAATAAGCCATGTGTATTGGTATGCAATTTCTTAAGAAAAATAACTTTCAAAGAACATCAAACCTTAACACTGACAGAACCAAATTTCAAAGATCAGAAAAACCAAAGTGAAATTGAATGTTAGTATAGAAATTTAAGCTATAATACATCTTCAAGGAAACAGCAGACCACTGAAAACTGGATTTTACTTTTTGTGACCTTTTAGTGACTAGTTCTATATATTATGCTTCTCTATACCTGGAAAAATATTCTAATATAATACATACGCAGTTTTAAACATCAAATTTAAAAAAGGATTGGTTTTTTTAAAAAAAACTTATGCTATAAAATATGCATTTATATTTATTCCGAAATTATATATTTCTATCTCTGCAGTGATTTAAGGTCCAAATTTTCACTGCTGAACTGCCTTCTTGCATGGTCTTAAACAATTGTTTCTACAGAGCAGATAAAATTTGCATGATTCTCTAACAGTAAAATCTATTCAGAAACTCTCTTTGACACTAATACTTTTATCTGGCAGAGTTGAAAGAACAGATTTCAGTAAGAAGAAGTATAAGGGTGGGTCAAAGCATTTTTTTGAAAAATATACTGTATATAATACATCTTAGTGATTACACAGACCATATGCTTTTATTTAATGTGAAGGCACAACTTTAAGATGGTTAAAAATAAATGCATTTTAATTAATTATGATGTAATTGTCAGTACCAGCTCATAAAAATATATGCTTGCAAGCATGTCATTGAAGATTCTTTCAGATTGTCAGTTCAAAAGTCGACTTTAAAAGTCAAACTCTATTTGTAGAAAATCAATGACTGCAGGTCCACATACTCTTATTGCTGGACAATCTGTTCACCAGCAATCACAGGGTTTTCTTCATTTGTTGCATAGTCCAGATGGTCCATCATCTAGGCATAAATAAAAGATGTTAGGAAATGCAATTTTTCAACTTGTGCCCATTATTCACTAATTTAGCCAAAGGATTCCCAGCTTTTAGAAAAGACACAGATTATTCCATGGAACTGAGCATTCCTACTGGAGCACTGTTCTGGTTCAATATCCACACTCCTAAGGTCAGCGTGACACTGAGCCTTTGGGAAGCCTAATCATGTGACATATCACATTGTGACCAATGTGATAAGTGCTTCCTCTGGATCTTGCATTATCTCTATTTGCCAATATGAATATTCCCCTCCTTGGCAGTGAGAACTCCACCACAGAAGGAAGATATTCCTGACACTTATTCCAGGCAGTGCCCACTTGTACAAGTAGAAAAACTAAAAATGACCCCAGGAGTCACTGTGAGAATACCTGCTGGCTCTGAGACAGC